GTTGGGGGGGGGGGGGGGGGGGGGGGGGTGCGACATCCGGTTACGCCGTCCCGTCTGCCGCCCCGCGTCTTCCGGCCTGTGAGTCCGTCCTCAGCAGCCGTGTCAGGCCTGTCTCCCGTCCTACGTCTTCCGTCGTGGTCGGATGTGTGCTCTCCTCACTCCCTCTCTCTCCCCCTGCCGTCTCACGCCGTATTCATTGGCAGTCATTCCCTAGTGTTCATCAAAGTCCGCCTAGCAAGTCCTGTTTTGCCCCACGAGCCCGTTCTGCCAATCATCACCTCCCCTTCTTTAACTTTGATATTCATTAATTATTTTAATTTAAATGAAACACTTGTTCTTCCTTGTTGTTGAACACCCTATTTCATTTGTCATCAGTCGTCTCCTTAAACGGCTTGTCCTGTCAGTGGAGAGAGGCCGGACCCTTTTGCCTCCGTTTAACGGCTCGTGCTAAATTATATTATTCCTTGCTTTCTGTCAAAAGTTAACGTTAATAGTCCATTATTTAAGACCCTCCACAACCCAATTCTAATCTTTACCCTGAGGATTTTTCGCGTCTCCAATTCTGCCGTCAGGGGTTTGCGATATGGCGATCGTGCTCATATTCCGAGGTATTTTTCTTTGCAGCATCCAGCAATCCAAAACCACATCACAGCTAAACTAGACATTTAAAAAATTATTCTCAGAGTCCCAGACGGGCAGGTCGTATGGATTGAAATTCCAGGGTGAGAGTTCCCCCACCTACGAATCCTTATCCTACGAATGTCGGAGAAAAGACGACAGAAAACTTACAAGACAGAGAGGGATCAATGTTGAATCCATAATTTCCTCCTCATCGACGAGAGGTGGACAAGGACACAGTTTAAAAAAGTTCGTGGTAGTGCAGCTACTGCATTCAGTGGAAAATAGCCGCAGGATGATTAAATGTGCGACAACTCTGACATTGGCTTGGGGGTGTGTTATTCTCAACCTCGCAAACTGTTCCGGGCTCGTCACACATCCGAAACAAAGTGAATGAGAACCCGAAGCAATTCAACTCGGTGTGTGAGAAGTTACAGGAGCTGGAGGAAAAGAGTGACAAAAGAGTTTGAGGTCGGTCTTCAAATATCGAGGTGAAGTTAAGACAAGTATATGGTGAACAAGAAGATTAACTTTGGAATTTCAGACGTAAAAAATCGCGGAACTGAAGTTTCTCAAGGAAGAAAGTCGTCTTGTGATTCGTATTGATAGATTAAAACACCGAAAAGAGGAATCGGTGGATCAAGTGGTAGAATTGTATTTCTACTCAAGGAAACATAACTTCGTCATTCATGGGTTGGGAAAGAAGCCGAATGAGAAACGCCACGAAATCCTGGATCTCCTGTTCAGAGAAGAAATGAAAAGTCACGTGACTACGAAACGTGTGGTGACTCAGAGGCGAAGAGGAAACCGCGGGGCTCGCCCGGTTACTGCCCGGTTTATGGGCCACCCCAGGGGAAATGCAAACCTTTTCATGGCCCATCGCATTAAGGTTCAGGGATTTCCCTTGAGGGAGTACCTTCCTCGAAGTTTGGAGAGGAATCGTATAAGGCGTGAAAGGTCTAATCAAGCTGCACCTGCGGGGAACGACAAAATATCATGCCGGAATACCAAATCAGAACTTTCGGGACTGCAGTGAAACTTCTTATTCGACCGGGTCTTAATTGGAATGATCTCCAATGACGGCCGTGACGTTAGTGTTAGTGTCAACCTCATTCTCTTTTGTTTTTCCTAGATAAGGGCTCTATCCCGCGTCAAAACAGATATCGGTAATGTAACTCGGCGCTATCCCAACTATCTGGAATCCCAACTGCGGAGTTCGATATGGATTTATCTTTCACCTCATCCCGATGGAATTTCGTGCAGCGAGGTCTCCTGTAAAGGGAATGAGTATGTTCTCCAACGCTAAAGACAAATTTCTGACGCATTTCGAGGAGGGCGAACCACAATTACGGATGTGGTTCTTGCGCACATCAATTGCAATGCGCTGTGCCGAACACTGCGAGACAAATGCTACGAACCTTTGCGAGAGATGTAGTAACTACATGCGACCACGATTCTCCATCTAGAACGCTGCTGTACTCGAGGGCGATTTTTCTGCTCTTAAAAGGATGCCGAGAAGTTTCCCGCGCTAATTTCAAAGGCACCCTGTGATTCCTGATTCCTCCTCCAGGCAAAAAGCAAGCTCGGCACCTATTCGGCAGCGATACGAAGCTGAAAGCAGCAGTAGCGAAGGAGCTTTAGTGCATATCGGAAGATGGCGTGCAGAGAGAATATGATGCATAGTCACATCGTTGGGAAAATTTAACAGCTACATTCAGATACGCTACGATCGGATTATATGAGATAATATTTGTTTTTCACCAGAACCTTTAAAAGTAAATTAAGCCGGCATTAATTCAGACTCAATATTTAAAGGAAAGCCACCACATTGCCTGTAGCTGGAGATTGCACACTTGCAGAGCTTGCCAGTTTCTTTGTAGAGCGGTGAAGGAAACGTGAGAGGGCAGATCGACGAGGGATCAACTCATCCATACAATTATGAATTATGATCATTGAAGAAATCGATATCGTAGTGCGCGGTAGGTTTGCCCAATTTAATGGCTGCAGCAGAACGAGAATGAAGAAAATTGAAAGCTTGACCTTCACACGGGATGTCATACTTGAAGAGTTTCTATTATCGGCCGTATCCGAACCTCGAATCTCATCGGGGAGAGACGCTG